CATGCCATATCATTAGGCCACTCCAATTGTTGTTTGTTTGGTCTAGGTCAGATTTAGAAAAAAACAAAGCTGAACTGGAAAATCAATGAGAAAACAGAATCGAGGGAGAAAATCTGTACCTAGGCCAGCACATGCAGTTTCATGTGAATATAGTCAAGTCCATATCTGACTGACACATTTACAGCTACCAATGCAAAGTCACAGTTGGACAGGAAACACAATTAAATTAATGAAGTTAAACAACAGGAGAACATCAGAAAACAACCTTAGGCCAATTCATGATGAATAATTGTTTAAGGTACGCACACGTACGCAAAGAAAAACTAGAGTTCCCCGATCTCATACCTTCGCCAAATGATGTTAATCTTTATGGCTGACAAATGATAGATTATTCCCCCTGCTTGTGCAAATAGGATCCTCATTTTCATGAATTATATCAGTTTATCAAATTCTCAACCAAAAGACAGTCTTATATTAACAAACAATGCCATTCTAGCATTTCCTCATAAATTATGCAAATGAGGTCCTGATTTGAATACATTATGTTTAATGATGTTCACCTTCACTGTACTTTCAAAGACCATAAGTATGAAATTCCAGGCAGTTATCATTACAGAATTATAACATTTTCTCATTACTTATGCAAATTAAGTCTTCATTTACATAATCAATATCTGCCTGTGTTTATCTCGTTCTCAATTACCAATGCTACAAGCTTCAATAGTCCTATGATGGAATGCAGCTGATTTATAGAATTTCTCCATAAATTATGCAAATTACATCCATATTTGCATAATTGTCGCATAATTATATTAAGCATCACGTAAGCTACCTGCATACCAAAAATCACGACGATCCGTCAACCAGTTCTTGAGTTATTCTCTTTTGAATATATTCAAACAGATAGCCCTGCAGTTCCAGAGCAAGCCGCTAGGGGGCCCAAACTCACGTCACTTCTTTCCCAGCACAAGAGCTACTTGCCATCCGAATTTCGTCACCCTAGCATGTCTAGATCATGAGATATCCAAACCGGAAGTTCAGCTGCAGTACCGTAACAAGCTGCTAGGGGGCCCAAAATCTAATCATTTTGAGGTCTCATTAAGACCTACCCACCTACCAAGTATGAAGACAATCCATCAAGGCCTTCTCAAGTTATCGTGTTTACAGACAGACACACACACACACACACACACACATACACGAACGCCTCTGAAAACATAACCTTCTTGGCGAAGGTAATAATTGGAAGAAACTTACCACAACCTGTTTCTCCTGCTGTGTGCATGGTAGAAGTTCTCCAATCCTCAGGATACCTGCATTTATCTTGTCCTTTCTCCTTCTCTCAACTAGCATGGAGTGTGGCACAGTGACAATTGATTATTGGTACTGTAAATTTTGACATGTTCGCAGGGTTTTTTTTTAACTCAGGGTTTTGCAGTTACCTTTCACTGCAAACTCATCAAATCTATGTTCTTCCACTGTGTTACTACAGTACTGTACAAACTTACAAATACGGTAAACAGGTGCAAACTCATTTTACATGCTTCAAACTTAAAAATGTATGTACAGCATATCCAGCAGTAGCAGGTCAATTTTTCTTAGCTGTGAATGTGGAGCATGATGTTCCCACATGTCTGGAATATTACACAGCAATCTTTGCATGTACTCGTCCCATCAAAAATGCCACTCACATCCACATTAGCCCCCCAGAATTAATGATTGATGTGTCCACATGAAGGAACCACTGCTCACCTTCATTATGCACTGCCCTCTTCCTGTACCTCCTCTGCTCACTGGAATGTAAAATTTCATGTCATTTTATTGGTAATAATTGGTGCCTAGCCTGAATAACAACGCACAAGTGCCCAGGCAATAACACTGTGAAGGATTTCCACAAATTGCCTAGTGCCCGCATTGTATTGTATTCTCTAGCTGCAATCCCAATAAAATCTTGTGAGAAGAAGGAAATGTTTTTTTTAGATAGCAGCAATGAGAATAAAGATATTGACCTTTCTATAGACACTGCTCATTCTTGTATTATGTTTTCATCATATCTAAAACAAT